TGGATTTGGTAAAACATTACAAATCCCATCTCCAAAGTGATGGATGCAGGGGCTGTGCTGGGCACCAGGGGCTGGGTCTCATCCTGCCTCGTTAACAAAAGGAAGGTGATTACCACCAGCGTGGACTCATTAGTGCTGTTCCCATTCCTCACAGCAAAGCAAAACTGACAGGTCCTAATTAGACCCTGACATCTGTAATAATAAAATATTATTCATCTTGAAACAATTTTAAATATCAAAGAATCATGCCCACTAACAGTTTAAAACCCACCTCATTGTCTGTGACAGCCCGTGGAATTGGATTTTTTAAAATTTTTTTTATTTTTCATTCTGTGCTTTTGATTTTTTTTACAAAAGGAATTTCCTCCAAATTAACACATTGTACAGGTTTAAAAAAAAAAAAAAATCACACTTCTAATCCCCTTATTTATAATTCAGCAGCCATCTGCCCTGGCAGGGAATTGGCTGGAATGATACATTAGGGCCTCTCTGCTATTATCTCCCTTGCTTCATTTTTACAAGAAACTAAAGGAATTTTAAACCCCAGTAATAAATTTTGAGGGGAAAACCCTGGCAGAGCAAGGCCTTTTTCCTATTTTCCTGCATTAATGTCTACCACCATCAGCAAATGAGAGCAGACAGACAAGGCTGAGCCTGGCTGGCGCGTGCTGCTGTTCCAGGGGGGTTTGTGTTATTTATTTAATTGAAATCTTATCCAAACCATCATAAAACTCCACAGTGGCAGCTGGGAACAGCACAGGGGGAAGGAACCTGCTCCCACCTGCTCTTCCCTCTGCAATTTATACCAAATTTCATCTCCAGCCAGCAGCCCTGGATCACGGGATGGAAATGTCAGGGGTAATCTTCTCTCAGGGCTCCCCTGTGCCTCCCGCAGGCTCTGCCTGATTTAAAATCACTTCCAGTCTTTTCCTGGGGGTCCCAGAAATGGGAGGAGGCTCTGGCAATGAGGATTGACTGGGAGATGTGGTTCCTTCCCTGCTCCAGTGCGTGGTTGGGGCACTGGAGGGATGAGCTGGTGATGTTGGAGGATTTTCATAATTCTCTTCTCTGTTTTTCCCTCCTGCACCCCCGGACCAGTGGCCGGCGCAGCTCCACTGTGAGGAAGCAGGTAATTAACAATTCCCCCAGTAACGAGGCAGGGATGTGGTGTGGGAAGAGGAGGAGTGGTGGAAAACAGATTTTTTTTCTGTCCCTCCCTGTCTTCCGTGGACCTTTTCAGTCTTGTTGAAGAAATCCCTCAAAGCTGGATCCAGAACCTCGCTCATTTAAATTGTCATGATAAAATTTAAAATTGCTTTTTCTCTGTGTTTTGAGAGATTTGGAATCAAAATCCCAGACAGCCCTGGTTTATGGGATCCACGCTGTGGTTTCTTTGTCTCCACTCCCTTTATTTTCCCTGTTAAACCTTTAGCTGCCCTCTTGTTGTGCCTTCCTGTAATAAAGACTTCCAAAGCCAGGTTTTGGGGATAAATTTAATAAATTTAATTAAATGTAATAATTTATTATAAATTAGATTTTTAATTTTATATATATAACTTGTTTATGTTGATTAAATGTTGCTTTTTGGTAGCCAATTGAGCTAAAATGTGATTCTTTGAGATAAGGAAGACCCAAAGTATCTCTTGTTGGTACTGTAAGGTTAAAGTTTGGGAATTCCAATTCACACAGTCTTGAGCTGCTGCTATGGAGTTTTGGAATGAAGAGAGCAAGGTGGGATCTTGGTGTGCACAGTCAAACCTTTCTCATTTTTTATTCTTTTTTTTTTTTCACTCTATATTCTGCCTGCTCTTGCTGGAATTCCTCTCTGGGCAGGATTCCTCGCAGGCCATTCCCCTGGTGGTGGAGAGCTGCATCCGATTCATCAGCAGGCACGGTGAGTTTGTGTGACATTCCTGGGAAATAAAATATAAAATAAAATAAAATAAAATAAAATAAAATAAAATAAAATAAAATAAAATCACCTATATTTTACAGGTTAAACTGTAAAATAAACCTCATAGGGGATGTTCAGAGTGGCTCAGGACCTGGTGCTTGTGCAGAAGCTGCCCCAGAAGGCAAATGACTCTGATTTTTTGCCTGCATTGCTGGTGCTGTGTGTGCAGTGACTTCTCCAAATAACTGACCTTGTGGACGTTGTTTTGCCAACAATATCCCTTTATTCCTTGCAAAATAAGCTTCCCATCCCTCACCTTCCTTTGAGGCCTGAAATGTGGCCTTCACCAGGGACAATCCCCCTCTTCACGAGGAGGAGGAGGAGGAGCACTCTGAGGGTTTGAATGTAGGAGGTCAAGCAGTGAATTAATTGTTCACTTACTGCCACAGAGAGATGATTTATGCCTGTTTGGAAGGTTGACCTCTGCCAGCCTTGAATGCTGTACATTTATTGCATTTTGTTTTCATTTTTAATTGATTTCATTTGTTAGTAGCGTGCGAAGCAGCTGTTAATTAACACGTGTGGAGGGAGGTGGAATCCATCTTCATTAACCAAGGTGCAGGGCAGGTAGCAGGTCCTGTTTGTTTCCCTTGTTCCATTACTATTTTAGAAACCATAATCTGGAGTCCCATTCTCAGCAGCACTCAGAATAACCAAATTACAGCTCTAGAATCAGGTTCTGGAATCTTTCTTTAAGGCCACATTTGGATATTTGCTGGAAAAATCCTCGAGGCCACATTGGAATGGGAACTGATGGGGGATAAATCGTGGCCAGCAGGAGATGCTGATTTCACTCAGATTCCAGAATTGGCTTTGATTTTCCAACAGACTCAGCTGAGTCCTTTTTAAACATTTTTTAAACGTTTTCCTCCTGACATGGGTCATATTTTACTCCTGCTGCTCCACTGCTGGTTTATGACTTCCTCCAGGTTGTAAAATCCTCTGGGGATTCTCCAGGGTGAGAGATAACATGAATGGCTGTCAGAGCCCTGTTACTCTGGCACTTTAGAAGGGTTAATAATTTTTCTGCCTGTGCTGAGTTCTGTTGTTTCATATTCTGGACATCTCAGGGAAAGGTGGATTAAACCAGCATCCTCTGCCTTTGTTCTTATTTTATCTTTATTACAGGAGCTGTAGCTGCTGAAGGTGCCATCTTCTTTTATCTAATCTATCTTATCTTGTTATCAGCATCTCTTGTTTTCCTGCAGGTTTGCAGCACGAGGGAATATTCAGAGTGTCTGGGTCGCAGGTTGAAGTAAATGACATCAAAAATGCATTTGAGAGAGGTAAGGAAGGGCTCTTCAATATCCCAGAAATTACTGCCAAGGGTGGGAATTTGTGTGAATGCTCAGAACTGCCCTGAATGCAGCTCACTTCGTTTTGTCCCTTTGATTTTTTTGTGTTTCCTGAGTGAGGCTCTCCCAAACACCTCCCTGCTGCTCATTAACCTTGAGTTCTCACTTGTTTGCTGTTGTGCTTTGTACCCTGTGGAGTGCCTGTATAATAAATATTCTGAATTCAATCTCCTCTCGTGTCTGATAGCTTATTGATTGTTTGCAACACTAAAGGACGCAGAGGATTTCATTATGAGGTGTAACTGCAGTTTCCTCCCCTCTCCCCCAGCTCTTTGTGTGCTGCAGGATGAATTTCCATGGGGTTTTTTTTTCGTGTTGTTGAGGCACAGCTTGGCTACATTTATTCCAAATACCAGCGAGGGAGAGAGGGAAATTTCAAGAGAGTGTTAATTTGAGGTAGCTTTTAATAGATTGGGTTTTTTTCCTCTGGGAAGAGCCATTCCACACAAAGGCAGGAGCAGTTGGGAGCCTCCTGACTCATCAGCTCCTTGCTGGGCTCTTCTCCCTGGCAGAGCAGGTTCAGAGGAGCTGCTCCTCAGGCAGTCCCTGGGTCACTGGCAACAACAGGGCTTCTGTTAATCCCTGGAATCCGTGTTCCCAAAGAATAGGATCAGTGTTTTTCTCTGCTGGCTGCTGCGGGAGACGGGCAGTCATTAATTAGGCACAGCGAGTTGATTTTGCTGCTGGGGGAGAGAGAAGTTGAATGAGCAATGTGTGCTGGGTGATGTCACCTGTCCTCAGCTCCATCTACCTGGGAGTGAAAACCCTCAGCAGCAGGGCAAGCAGGAATGTGTGTCACAGGCAGGAAAAGCATAATTTTCACATAAAAAAAACTTCTATATAAAGAAATACCAGCTTGGGGAAATAGCCACTTGTTCCATGCTGGAATAAAAAAGAGGATTTTTCCCCCTCTTCATCTCACTTGTCTCTGTAAAATCTGTGATATAGGGGACTGCCAAAGTTAACAATAAGGTCCCTGCAGTTTATTACTTCATCCAGAGCCCTTGGTGGCAGTTAATATCAGGGATAATGCTCAGGTTTGGAGTGGCCCATTTATTATCCCGTGTGTTATTAAGATAATAGGCAAGCTTTGGTAATTTCAGTCACATAATGGATATATATAGCTTCAATTTGAGGATTGCCCCATCATTAAATCTAATTATGTCTGATAGGGAGTTTTCCCCAGGGAACAACTCCTTGAGTGAGCATCTTCCCTTTGGTAATGCAGACAAACCGTGGTGGATCTGCGGCAGCAAATTGTCCCAGCAACATTCCCCCACCCCATTCCCTGTGTCTGCACCCACCTGGGCCAGGTGTGGGATGTGTGTGTGTCACCTGGGCCAGGTGTG